GACCGACCCACCATTATGGGAATGAAGAAAGTAATCAATGGACTACAAGTGTGTTGATGTCATGGCACTTGTGCCCCACTGAGATCTACCTGTTCCTTTGCCACAGTGGCAGTTGAGACTTGTAGCCTTTCATTCACAGATCCTTGTGAATTGATGATGGGCGGAGTCACGCACAGCCGCGCCAAATTCAAAAGCAGACATAAGGCTGCAGGCAGAAGAAGCCCCACGATCCAGGCAAGTGGTTTGAGAGTGCAGGGTTGGGGAATTGACCATGTCTAATGGTCTACCCTAAATATGGGTGCAATTGTGGTGAGAAAGCTGCACTGGGCCTTCAAGGCCCAACTGCAGCCAAAACATTGTTTTCAGTACGGTGTCGGAGGGTGAGCACCTCTGTACGGTTATTTAACATTGAAAATTTCAGCACTCTCTTACTGGGACAAAAAGTGGGGGAAATCTTTTCATTGGGACACAGACCCACTGAGACAGTGATTTGTATTTTTTGCTCTTCTATGTAGGGTGGGGGATTGGCAAATTTCAGCCCTCCAGTTGTGGTGACACTACAAATCCCATTAGGGATTGCAAGACTCTTGACAGGCATGACTTGCAGAGGCATGATGTGATCTCAAAATATCACCTAAACTGTCCTCTCTGCTCCTCTCAAGACCCCCTGCTCTCTAGCTCTTTTGTCACCTCCTCCCATGCTCGCCTCCAGGGCTTCTCCAGAGTGTCTCCCATCCTCTGGAACTCCCTACCCAAATCTGTCCGTGTATCTCCTACGATGTCCACTTTTAGGCGATCCCTAAAAACTCATCTGTTCAGGGAAGCCTATCCTACATCAACATAACTGCTCTTTTTCTACTTCCACTAGCTCAATCTAAACAATTATGACCTTTTTTATCACTTGCCCCTCCTACTAGATTGTAAAATCTCACAAGCAAAATAAATATGAAATTGTATTGTAACTGTACTGTCTCCCTCATTTTGTAAAGTGCTGCGCAAACTGTTGGTTCTATATACATCCTGTATTATAATAATATTATTTTGTAGATTCACCACAGCAGGAGGGCTGAAGTTTGTCTACCGCTGATGTAGAGTGAAGTGATAGACTGCATAAATACTTTCGTTGTGTTATTCCAATTGGAAAGACTCACCCTAGGGGGGAGGGGGAGGGGGGCAACAAAACAGAAGCCTGATAGATGTTCTGACCCTTAGCCTTCATTCACACTATGTGAGAAATGTGCGTATTTGGATTCCTGTTTCAGGAACCCCAAACATTCCGTTTAAAAGAAGCTGCTGTCAACCGTCAAAGTTAATGACCGCGTGTATCTTGTGTGCAGGAACACTGATCTATTCCTAACCTCATGTAATTGTATCACATATGATTACGCGTGGGCTACTGCTTACAGATGTGGCCGCTGTCACCCCGTCATTAACTTAAACAGGTGGCAGTGAGCACTTCTAAACAGAATATTTGGGATTCCTGCCGCAGGAATCCCAAAACGCACATGTAGTGTAAATGAAGCCTTAGTGTATTTGTACTTTCGCAGCCAAATTGGGATAACATCGATTTTATATTTGTTACATCATATTCACATAGCATATCCCCTTCTGTAATGTTACGGAGGGGTCGGGAGGTTCATGTTTACCATAATGAACCCTGTCTATATTGTGCTGACAGATCTCATCGGTAGTAAACTAGATGTGCACACTCTATGCCCTAACTAGGGCTGCAACAACTAATCGACTAAATCCAATATTGGAATTTTATTCTAACCCCCACACTAAGTGTAGAGGTGTATCTGTGCTTTATGGTATTCTACAAGGAAAACATTGTTTCACTAAATCTCTACCATTTTACAAATGGGAAGAGGATTTAAATGCATGATATACTTCAGCACAATGGTGTAAGGCACTTCAGTCGGTCACAGCAGTGACCACGTGTGCCAATTTGTGGGAGCTGACACAAATAATGACATTGAGATGGTATTTAACTCCTTACCGTATGGATGTAATTTCCCAATCCAACTCCAGCCTATGTTGGAGAAAATGCGGAGAGGTAGACGGCATGATGCATATATTTTGGTCTTGTCCACAACTTCAGCATTATTGGTCTGGGATATTTTAAATAATTTCTGACATGGTGGGCAGACACGTGAAACCTTTCCTGGACTTGGCACTGCTGAACCTGGGCATTGCAAACATTTTCTCTGACTACAGGGCGGTGGTTACACTGGTGTTATTGGCCGCACGATTAAACGTAACAAGATGGCAATCTTCTGATTCGCCTTCTGTCGCACATGTAGTGGCCTTGGTGCTCTTGAGCTGGCCATACACCTTACGAATATCGTACGACCCTTGTCGTATGATTTTGGTACGGCGGCCCCATCCTGCCCCGATTATCGCAAGGTTCAATTAGCCGTAATTAAAGAAATGCACCTAAACAAATTGCGGCAGTCGACCGCGTGTATTTTCGTTTGCGCATGAGTTTTCAAACCTGCTTGAGAGTCAAAAGTCGTACGATTGTACAGTATTTGCGGTGGTACACTGCCCATCAACCTTGCGATTATCGGACGAAAATTCGATTGCACAGGTTATCGTACGATAATCGTAAGGTGTATGGGCACCTTCACATTTGCTGGACGTGAGGTAGATAGATTTACCAAATGTTGGGAGCCTTGGGTCACCTGGTACTCCCCAACCACTGTGACTTGATACTTCCAGTGCAAATATTGAATATGCGTCATGTATAAAGACTCTCGCTCATGTACCATCTACATCGGTATCGCCATTCAGACTGGTTATAGATGGTAAACTGTTTATTATTGTGGCGTGTCTGTTCTTTACAGCATTATGTGAAATGTACAAACTCCTGTGGGTTCACATATGCGAGGTGTTGACATAGGAGGTTTGCACAGACTGTTTTCACTGTACTTGTTTTTCTTTTCTTGTGCCCCTTTTTTTCTGTACTGTTGGTTCCTATTCAAAACTCAATACAAATATCTAAAATTGGGGCTTGTTTCCCCGCCTGGGAAGCCTCAGGTGGGCTGCGTACAGCTTCCCCTAGAAATCAATGGCTGCATGCTGATACACTCCAGTACTTTTCTATGAACGTATGCAGCAAATACTTGCCTTGACTAGGGGTCCATAGTAGG